TATCTTTTGATTTATTGCATTTCAAATGTTACAACACATAAATAATTTTAAGTTTTAATATAACAATTAAATTTTATTATTTACTTCAACTATTATTATTTTTGATGATAAAATAACTTACGAATCCTCACAAAAATGACGTTTTATTTATTTATTTATATAAGGACAAGTTTTAAAAAAATAAAGATACATAATTACATTTTTGCTTAGTGATATTTCAGTTAAAAGTTATCACGGCACGTTTTAGATATTTGTAAGTTACCTGAAGATTTTAACAGAAAAATTCATGTAACAGAAGTCAAGTTTCAGTTGCGGAAACACGATGATTTTAAAGATTATTTATATAATATAATAAATATTTAAAATGATATACCGTATTATATAATATTTAGAATTGCAAACGTATTGCGATTGCATCAAATCGAAATTCATTACTTTACTTTCTATATATAATATATTCTTTATACATGGTGTGTATTGTTTTAATATATTTTGTTTATCATAATGTTCAAATATTACGAACAGCCTCATGTTATCCGTAACAAGAGTCGAGCCGCGGACACCTTGTATGTAGGTCAAGATGAGAACAACTACATAGTTGGACTCTGGTCGACTGTCCCTTTCTGATCTTGTCGCTGTATATTCTGTATGCCTCTATAAGACTAACGTTTTCACATTTCCTGATAAACATATTACGATGTCTATTGTTTCTCCACATTGATTTTATCATATTATTATCTCTACTTTGTTTAAACATTATACATGCAAAACAAATTGAGTATATCCAATACTTCGATCAATCGCTGATGACGATGTTTTTTAAAAGATATAACATAAAATCATTAATCATTCATTCATTCTATTAATTATTAACTTGTATAAGATTACAAGAGAAAAAAAACGACTCAACATAGCACGCGGTCGCAATGATCAGACGAAAAAAAAAACATGTAAAGTGAAAAGTGAAAATAAAGTAGACGCGAACTATGAGCGACGGCGATGTTTATATTACACATCTGAAGAGTTGTAAAAGTTATACAGCGAAGATGAAAGCATCGTGTTCAAGGAGAAACAAATCTAGGTGAAGGACACTCGGCTTGCAATCTACAACAAGGATCGCCTCGATAACGGATCCTTCGACATTATTGTAATGAATTTAACAAGGTCGGGCGACACCACTGAACGTTATGCTCTGTTGATAAAAACTGCGGTTAACTGACTATATTGAACCGCAGGCACATTGATTATAACAATTATAATTGAAACACTTAAAACGATATAATTTCCTTCATATGTATATTTGCCCTCACTTCATATTGTAGTAGCTTGGATAAAATGATTCTGTAGAAACGTTGGTAGGAAAAAACATGAACATTGAACACACGCGGCCACAGAAAACAATAAAACGGCGAATCCTGTTATCACCGATATGATAACAGAACTCCTATCACACAGCGGCGATCACTGACTATTAATTATTATCATATATTTGTCTTGTAAGGTCACATATTTATTTGACCACTCGATATATGTGATCTAAACTATTTTATAATAGTTTATTTTATTCAAAGTATGATTGTAAGTCTCACGTCATATAAAACTGAATGGAATCTTAGTTTACGATCCAAATGTTATTGTGATTCGTGCACATGGAAACTGTTACAATTATTATGAGAGAAACAAAACACTAAAATGTATTCGTTTCTTATCTATAAACAGATTGTATATAGAAGAATGGAACATTCGCTACATTTTATTCATAATATTATAAATACTTGAAAGATTTCTTCTCAATTTTTCAATAATATATATTATAGAGAATATTAAATATTTTATATAAAAAACTCTTCATTCTTTGTTACCATTGCAAGTATTTTTTAAATATATATGTATACGTTATTTTATCTTTTATTTTATATTTTGTTATGAATTACTGTGATAACAACAAACCTTGAAATTCTCTTGTCTTGAATTTTTGTAAAGAAATATAAATATGGTAAAAGCAACACAAAAATGTGCACGTACTTAATGTTTAAATATCAAAACATATTTATTTATAAAAAAAATAACTTAGAGTTTCCGCATATTAAGTATTATAATAAAAATACAGGCCACATTAGGTTTTGAGTTATTTGTGATCATAATATTGTATTCAGACAGCGGTAGCCGTGATAACGTTATCAGTTATAATCAAGACCAATCATAATGTGATTAACACTCAACACTTGCACCTTGCTTTTAAACAGACGATATTTATTTGTATCTTTATATATATATATATATAATTCCTCTGTGAGTGTGTATGTCACTGAACTTCTCTCAAACGACTGGACCGATTTTGATGAAATTTTTTGTGTGTGTTCAAGGGGATCTGGGAATTGTTTTTAGATTCACAATTTTGTCCGCTAGACAATGTTTTTTTAATTAATTTTTAATTTATTAGTAGTTGTTGATACACACGTTTTTTGACATTAGATTTCACAACTAACTAATATGTCAATCATTCTGTCGCACTTCAAAACACGGAGATTTATGGCTTTAATAGGTAAACTCCAAAAATATAAATAAAAAAAACGTAACAGATATATCTTGATTATAGGGAGATACGAAGTTCGTCGGGTCTTCTAGTATGTATATATAAGAACAGATAAAAACTTCGATAATAATGACTTCTCGTTAAATTATGCAATGTAAACATTCCCCAAATAAAATTTATATACATTTTTGTGTTGTTAATAGGTGTGTATGTCTAGAGCATGTGTTATTAATTAACTCGTGTTAGCAAATAAAATTACAAACGATAGTCTACAGATCGTGTTCCGTTTTTAACGGGAAACGTCTAAAGGGCGCTCGTACTGCGGAAATACATTCGCTCTGTTGGGAATATTAGTCGGAAACAGAATTAGTCCGTGTATAACGTGGTCGTATGGAGGACATGTAGCTAACAAAGCTATTGGTGCATACAGCTAGATAGTTAGCAACTGAAATGTTTCTCAAATTGACAGTGATTCAGTGAAGACACAATATTAAGTCAATATTTTAAGACTTTAACATGTAGGAAACATTATTATGCATATATTTTACATTTAGAACCTTTTTCACTGAAACTGTGTAACTACATTAAATTTTCACTTCCCCCTTTTTAATTTTAAACCGATAAATATCACGTTTAAGTACATTTGACGTAATTCGAAATTGTATCCAGATCAAGGTCAGTTCTAGAGCGTACTTCTACTTGTGTAAACATATGGATACCGATATCGATGAGTCAAAGTCAGAGCTCATTATATGTCTAATATATGAGATACATCTACCGTGTACATTGTTAGTGGCGCGCTGTAATCTATCGGGATCGTAAATTCGAACCTTGATACTGTGTGACGCTTGATAACTTATCACTTAACGTACTTGGCTTGAAACATCCCACAATACAAGATCTACGTTTGAGATGAATTAGTTTAATTAATAAATATAATATAATTAATCTATATATAATAAGAAAAAAGAAATATACCTATTATTACAGTTTTTTTTTTATACAGTTATTTAATTAAACCATATATATGAAATTAACTCAGAAGTCTCAGGAACGATCCTCCTGTTTCTTGTTTATAATTTTTGTGAATGACTATCAATTGAGTTTTATTACTATATTCATTACCGTTTGGACTATAAACACAAACTGTAAAAAGGTACTGTATTGCATAATATCAATAATATATTATAATGCAGTTAAAGAATATGTAAAAATATTCCTCGTTATAAATAACTATGAGCATGGCTGATAACTCGTCGGTTTTATCTCGTACGTAAATAACGACATACAAAACGATAAACAGTACAATATACAGATACGTAAAAGTAATTTTAATACATATGATTCTTTGTAAAAGGTAATAAAATGATTATGATAGTATATTGCAGATACTAAGTAACGTAAAGGACAATTTGAACTTGGAGAATATAATATAGTGCAGAATGATATGCAAATAATATTTTCATAGAGAGTAAGATCGTTTGCGAGATAAGGGATGGTTTCGGTGGCTGGTCGCCGGATAGCATGAATAACTGAGCGTTGAATTTGGCCGGTCAATGGACAATATCGTCGCAACGGCGCCGGAGGAAATGAGGGATTAAATATTAAGCCCGTAATATTCTCGGGAAATGACAAGAGTTAGAGAGCAGTTTAAAGGGTTGCCTCACAATAATATCGCATAAAGGAATCGTTGCTAGGTTTTTTATTAAAGTCGCTCGCTGTGTATGTACGTTTTGACGTCATCGCATCATTAAGTATAGTAAGATGTACGTCGCTAACAATTAAAACGACAGACTCGCCTAGCTGAGGCCCGAGTATGGGAAAGTTACAACAGCTACGATCATTCATGGACGGCTGAATGGCTGCGATACTGCGCTGGAGATGCTTTTGGTGACCGACTTTGGTTAAAAAAGAACAGTTTACAGTAAAGAATAATCCCAAAATATTACATACTTTAAATGACTATATAATTATTATGTATATTATAATAAATGCACTAAGTGGAAACTATATATAATTATAATAGAAAATACGGGACGAATAAAAAATTAAATAATATTTTTTAATAAAATCCATAACATCCGTTTTTTAACAAAAACAATTAAACAAAATTATTTAAAATTGCCGAGATAAGATGTCTTACTTAACGAAGGTCATTATATGAATCTGTTACTAATGAGTATTTAGTATTGAAAAGTAGGTCTGTAGGTCATAAGCATCGGTTATAATAATATAGACTTCTTATGATTCACAACAAAAAATATAATGAAATATGACCCTTACTTTTATTATTTAACGATTTGTTACTTTGACTTTATGTGTACAAGGTTGCTGTGCGCACCGTTTCGTGGTTCGTTTGTAAAAATTGAGTTATGAAAGAAGCAAAGTGTATTGAACCCGGCGCAATGTCAACCTACTAGGTCGGTGCGTCACCCTCTTGCGTATCAATGTAATCGAAAGCATTTCATACAAGAGGATCCGTGTCCGCAAACGTCGCATTAATAATTAGGCGGTTATCAGGCAGGACGAGAAATCTGTAATCGGTATCGCGCTGAGATAGGCGGAGCGTAGAGGGAGACGGCGACGGGTGCGAGCTACAAGCGAGCAGCGACCAGGCGCGCGCCGGCCGCCGCTCGGAGATGTGGCAACGCGTCAGGTGGGAAACGGCGCCGGGCGGCGGGCTGCGGGCTGCTGTCGAGTGTCGACGAGGACGAGCGGCCGCCCCCACACACCCCACACCCTGCCCCCCGGGCTCCTTCACCTATACCCGTTGCTAATCCTCACCCGAACACAATCTGATAAAATTCGCGCCAGCTACGAATGTTACGCAAAGCGATTCCACACTACGACACGATGATAATGAATGACCCGACCGTTTCTTTGTACATAAACATTCCCACTAGCGTATATTATGTCGCAGTATCGAACGGACCGCAGCTGTAAGAATGCAAGTAATAAGAAAGTTATTTCCTCGACCTGGCGAAACTAGTCTTGCGAACGCATTACGGTCCGTGTTACGGCCAGGTGAATTCAAAATGACCTCTATGAGCCTGTGGCTTCTTGTGGCCTCGCTCACTGGATATAATGACATTTTGTGGGTTAGCAACACGACATCACTCTAGAGCTGGGAATACGATGCCAGGATGACTAACGGTTGACATCCATGACTTGACTAAGCATGGTTTCTTCCACACAATATATTAAACGTAACTTATTGATTTCATTACCATATTACATTAAGGCTAAATTTTGTATATCACTAACAACTAACGTTAATTGGACCGTTTGGAAAATATTGAGCACATATTTTGTTGACTAACAAGACTAACTTTTATGCACATTCATAAAATGAAAGCACGCAATAATATTATCAAGATAAACACAATGATTTCGAAAGAAAAGTACCTACGACTTCTTTCATCAATGTAAAAGTGACTTACCAAGGCGAAGAAGTTTGTGTGGCAATCCTCGAGACTTGCACCGTTTGTTTGGTGATTTTGATGCGTCATGGTAGTCCGGGACACTTCATTTTCATTTCACAACACTAAAAACTGATTTAATCTTAAAGAAACCACTCAAAATCTTAAAATCATCACCGACATTTAGTGAAGTTTTCACCTTTCAATGGCGACTGGAAAATGGCGGATAGGAAACAACAACCCAAGCCGACGGTAGCGCACTAAGCGGCAAAGGCCCAAACTAATATCGTCTAGAAAATATCACGTTTCGTTATAGGCATTTATCAAGTCTCGTTCAGTAAATTAAAACCAGTGACTCTTTTTTCTCAATTTAAATGTTGGATGTAAAATAAAACTATTATATATGAGGCAAATATATAACATAAAATATTATTAAATTTTGCTGGTCTTCAATTTTATCAAAAAACAGTCACTTTAAAATAGATTATAAATTATAACTGTCAATATCAGAAAGTCAAAAGTCTTAATTCTATCAGATTGCGAATGCATTTTAAGTGTAGAAAAATTTAATTTTGTACACCTGTAAGCAATATTTTCAAATCAACCAAGTCTCAGGAACAAAAAGTCATTACAATGTTCCGAAAAGCATTGCTCAATCCAAGATTTTCAAAACTTTCAGGTTATATTTCGTTCTTTCTGCTTCTATTTAATGTAATTTTATTTTGATTATTTATGAAAATCTTTTTATAGGTGGTATCTGTAAGACATAAACAAATCAAACTTCCTAAGATCGATAAAAAATTTCAAGCAGAAGCTGAATCACTGGCTGCTAGAGGGTATATCCTATTATATTAACAAAACCAATGATTTTCTTAAATGATTATTATTAATAATCAATCAAGGCTTCCTCTTTTTTTCACCATTTTTATTTATTTTCTCCTAGGTTTCTTCGGCCTAACAAACCCTGGGATCCTCCAGTCGATATAAACACAACTATCTTAAAAATATGCTCTGAAAACGGCCTCAATGAACAATCAACATTTGATTCCTTGGAAATCAAGTACTCTGTATTAAAAGCATGTTTTGATCAAACAGGTCACTCTGTACCAAACTCCTTGCTACACACTATTGAGAATGTTGGTAAGATGTATTTTCTTTAATATTTTCAAAGTACTCTAATTTATTATAATTCAAAATGTATTAATGAATAGGTTATCAAACTAGCACATATATTTCAGAATTAATATTCACTAAGCATATAGTATCTTTAATTTGACTTCACCATATTTCTACAACTTCACCCATTGTAAAATAAAATGTATAATACCATTTTTAAGTTTATATATATCAAATATCTATCTATCTCAAATATAATCAGAAGAATATAAAATCACATACTTAAAAATATAGCTGTAATAAAGCTATCATTAAAATTGTCTGATTAGTGGTTGTTAAGGCTTTTATACAATATATACAGTACTCAATCTCAATACTTATAATTAATTCATTCTATATTTCCCTAAACTATTCTTTATGTTGTGTCTAAAACATATTATATGTTAAATTTATGAAATTAATAATTCACCTAAATTTCAGATGACTTACAAACATTTTACCAAACACCCGTTGATACTTTGACACCTTTTGATAGTCTCAAGAAAATGGACCTCCCTAAGAATTTACATGTTCAGGAAGATTATGTTCGGTTCCATCCAGGTAAATTAATAGATAATAGTTTATAACATTCTCAGAACTGCAGCATGATTCTTGTTATTTTATAAAGTCATCTTGTATACCATGTTTACCAAATTTTATTTTTTTGCCATGTTATACAAAATGAAACAGTATTTTATGAAACTTACATATAATAATAAGGAAAATATATATATCAACTTGTTTTACTTGATGGATTATTAATTTTTAATAATCAATTAAACTCTTTGTTTTTGAGCTTGATTTTGTTAAAGATTAAAAAAATATATATATTATAGAAATTAAGTTTTTGTCATTTAAATCAACATATTAATTATCAATTAAATTTTGTATTATGTTCCAGATAAAGATACTCTCTTTAATGGCAAGACAGTGTTTCCAAAACGTTCTTCAATTGTCACAGGTTTAAAGGCCCGGAAGAAAGTATGAAGGTTTCACAGCAAAGAGATCTTGGCCTTAATAAGAATGATATAATATACCTATGTAATTTTGTGTAAAATATTATTAGTTGGTAGATAAGTAATGAATATAATAATAAAATGTTTTTAAGCAAGAAAATTCTAGTTTTATTATGATTTTGATGATATTCATAGAATATCAGTGATATTCTGAAATACATATATTGATTTCCCAAAGAAGGTTGATGTCAGGAAGGCGGCCGGTCGTGAAAACAAGTTAGCCCAAACTATTTACAACATGTAAGGCAGACTCTGGCTAAAGATGAGAAATTGTCAGGAAGAAGAATTCAGAAATATATTGATAAAAACGATTGAGCCCTTTAATTAGATTGAACAAAAAAATTGTCCTATTTTAATTAAGCGTCTCTTTATATTAAATTAAAAATGTACCTACCTACTATATTTTTACCTTAAAAATATGTTAAAAAGAAAAGTTTCATTTCGGTATATATGAAAGCATACAACTAAATTATTCTCAGTCTTTCACTTACATAATAAACCACGTAATAGGAAATCCCTATATTTTTAATGATATAATATTTTAAGGGAATAAATTTGCAGCCATTTTATGTATGTAAAAATAATTCTATTGAATAATATTTAATCTCGTCAAACAATTTCAACATCTCAGAAAAGTTACAGTGACATTGACGTCAACTTTTTTTTTGTCAATACACGAATGTCATAATTAAAGAGGTATTATAATTTGTCTATTTTGTATTTATAACCAATGTATAGTAATCAAATATATGATTCTTTAGATTAGGAATGCTTAATAAAAACAACAATGAATATATTATTGGTATTATTCCTTATTTGTGTCGTCATATATTCCTGTATATCTTGGTAAGTTTGTTTTCTTAATAAGTTGATTGTTTTTAAATTTTCTTATAAACTTTATTTTTTTTCTTGAATTTAATTTGAGATATAAAATTTTTGTTCGCTATCAATTTATTAAAACCTATCATATTAAGCTAGATCTATGAATTCATTAAATTATTTGTATTATTAGTTGAAAGTAAATAAATGTCTCTTAGGTTAATACCAGCTGTATTGGCATGGTTGTTCAAGAGAAAAATACCATATAAAACTAAAAATAGGAAGAATAGTTCTTCCCCAAAATTAATTTTTTTTCGAGATGTGATTTTATATCTAAGGATGGTTTTACAATTGTGAGTATTGCTTTGATTTATGTTGTACATCTATTTTCAAATTATACATATTATTTTGTTTTTGGAGTATAGCTATAGTATAAATAACAGAATAAAACTTTTTCTATGTTATCTGTTTTCAGCACATTAGTGAAATATCATTAAAAAGCAGCTTCTTCAATTCTGAAATAAATAAATTAGTGTCAGTGGTTATAAAGTCTTTCCAAGTTACTAATTATGCTGAAGAAAGAAGGAGTTGCTGTTGTTGAAACTATATTAAAGCCGATGCTATCAAAACAGAATTCAAACTCAAGGTCAGATGGGCTTGATGATGAAGCAAGCCATTATAATGAACTGGAAAGAGAATTACATAATCTACAACAACAGACTTTACTAGACTTTAGGAGTAAAAAGTTACCTCCAAGGTTTGACAACATTTGCACAGGTATTGAATTTTTTATGATTTACCACATTAATGTTTGTTTAATTTGGAAGAAAATTTGTTTTATCTTATATGTGCTACTAAAAGAATTTGTACATAAAAAAAATATATTCGTATCTGTTTCAGTTTATGGGTGTTCATATATATGATGTATTGCTATCAATAACTCTAGATGGCTTGAACATTCATGGTACAGCAGAGGAGGTGCATGCAGATGGCACGGCTGGTGGACCGGCCCGTGCGCTCGTGTTCTCTGCTAATGTAGTGAAAGCTAAAGTAGATTGTGGACCTCTGAGTCTATGGTGCTAGGAGAGGCACCAGTGTAGTGTGCTGATTGAGGGCACAGTCAGGGCTGAAGGACCATTGAATGTTGAGGTATGTTTTATTAGTCATCAATAGGTTTTCTATTGTATTTTAAATAGTCAATAATTTCATAGCCAATGGCATTGTTATTTTTAGAAAATTCATACAGTCATCACTAATCCCACAATACTGTTGCGTGAATGAGTTCTATGTTTTTTATGCAAAACCGTAAAAAGAGGAAAAACAAGCTAGAGGTATATTACTCAGAAGATTATTATAATAATACTCTTATACCAAGATTGTCACCAAAGCCATACCAAAGGTGAGTTTGAATGATATATTCATTAAGGCCTTATAAATTTTTATTCGATCAGTCCCCCATGTTTTTTTTTTAATACTACATTTTTTTTTATTTTTTAGATATTTAGTTTAAAAATCGACGCAACGAAAATAACCTTGTATAGAGCGAAACACCAAAAACATTCTTTGAATTAACTCTACAGAGTGCTATGGTGAGTAATAAAGCTAGTGATCCTTAGTATCTGATCCTCAGAGGTAATACAAATTTAATTCTTCCCTGTCAGGTAAACTCTCGCTTCAGTGCGTCTTACTCCGGGGTGGACCACGCTGTCGCTGCTCCACAACTGTATGTAGCCGTTGTGCAATTAGATCAGCTGGGTTTAGCTGCGCGTGCGCGAACCTTGGTTTTTTTTTTCCCTTGGTAAGTTTTGAAACTGGACGCCAAGGTTCGATAGGAGCCTGTTTTTCAATGATATCCAAAAAGGCCCCAACAAAACATCTATAAATATTATAATTTTCTTTTTTTCAGTTGGAGAAGAGAGGTCCCCCCTCAATTTATACCTCATAATCAATAACCCTGAATCTCAAATTTACAACCACGACGACGCCGTTAGAATGGTACCCCCCCCCACGGTGTTGGCGGAGGCTGCGGAAGTCTCGACCGCCTGCAAAAGTGACTGAAGCTCCTAACACTGTCGTAAGTATATTAATATGCAATAATCGTTTGTGTATATGAATGGACTTGACCAGTATATGCGTGGTTTTTTTTTCAGTTCGCTGGTGGCAGGTGGCAGCACATGCGGGTGGCCGTGCAAGTCTGCGCGCGAGCGTGCGCTGCCGGTCTCACTTCGCACGCGCCTTGGCTGGCGTTCGGATTGCAGCGGACTCAAGGTCAAGTTGGAGCAAAACTCCGAGATACTAAGAGGTGAGTTCATTTAAGAAAGAAAAAAGAAAACTAACATGGGTTTAGGTTTAAAAAAGTTTATTTCCCCCCTCCTCCCTCTCCCCCCTTCACAAAAGAACAAAAGTTCGCTTACAAAGGCAATTTTTTTAAAAACGATAACTACAATTAATATTACAAATAATAAACAGTTGTGGATATTAAAACAAGATCAGTGGAAATCTTCTGATATATGGGTTCTTAATCGTTTTTTAACTACATATATTTAGACAGTTTTGAAAATTGACAACACTAGAGGCAAAGAGTTCTATAGCTGTGCTCCTTCAAATGAAATAGTTTTAATGCCGTACTGGTTCTGAGTTTTAGATGTTTTTTAGGTTATATCTGTTCCTTGTGTGGTAAGTATGGGTTTTGGTTTTAAATGTAATTTTGAGAATGAGTAAGGTTTAGTTAATATTTTTCGAATAAGTAAACATAATTTATATTTATACATTTGTTTTAATAGATAAAAATTTTAGTTTACATGAGTTTTACAATGACGTTTTTTTAAATATTTTCCAGAAGAGTCGTACGAGTGGGAATTGGCCAAGTTTGTGGTGGTGGTTTTGGGTCCCCCGTCACTGATGGAGCGCGCGAGCCTGCTAGTGGACGGTGGGCGGCTGGATGCGGGTCACTTCGAGCGGGCCCGGGTCCTCCGGGCCCCGGGAGGCCTCCTCCGCGACGGACAACAACGCCTGGGGGCTCCGCCATGCTGGCAGTCGCGCGCTTGTCAAATGGGGCACTCACGGAAACCCCACAGACTTCTAAAGTACATTCGAAAAAGTCATTTGTGACATTCCCTCCCATTTTGTCGCATTTACTTATTTCTTATAACCTTTTAATCTACCATCGTACCGATTGAGGCTATGATGGACGTTGTTGAGGCTACGTTTTAAGAGATAGCGGAGTTGTGAATATAGCCTACGAAATGCGTCGCCCGAAAATCGTAAAGGTAGTTTCGTGGATTTCCATTCAACGACTTATCGTACGGTCCCTACGACCCCCTCTTCTCCGACGCGCAACTGTGTGACTCGTCACAGAAAGGTAAGCCTGTGTGAACGTGGGACCCCTATCGGGTCTCATATTAAGCGTGTTTCCCTGATCATCAATGATGATATGGTGTATAATGACGAGAGTGGAATGACGTCACCATTGAACCGTACCACTACCAAGTCGGCTTTTTCTGGTTCTCCGGGGTTGAAGATGATGGAAAATGGTACCTTTATCAAGGTGAGAATAAAAATAAAACAGATTATAATTAACGTTGTTTATAAGTTTTGGGTATAAAAATAAGCTGTTTTTTTTTAAAAATTATAATTACTCTTTTTATAGGAAATGTTAAAATTGGCCAAAGATCTGATGAAGATGACCTCGTCCTTCTTCCCATGTCAAACTGGCCAGAATAGAGAAAATGTGCCTTCAAAAGAAAGAAACTCGGTTGTTGCTAGACTTCCAGTTTCAAGAATATGTCGAATTTCGATGGAGCGCTAATTTGCATCTTTTAAAATATTAACATTTTTATCCAGGGCGTTTAGGTGTTTCAGGCAAGAGTTTTTTACAAATGAAAATTGAATAAAGGCAACGAACGACAAACTATCGAAATCGAGTAGCAAAAAAGGCAAGAGCAAAGGATTGGAGGATATCTTTCAAGAGCCAACACAAATTTGGAATTGATATTATCGAAAGAAAACAATATGCTATTTGCAACGGGGGTAAGCTACCTGTTCTTGAGTTTATTACACTTAAAGTTGTGAGACCTAATAGATGTACTTGGTTTTGTAGATAACATGACGATAGCTTACGACCATGAAGCCGGGTTGTCCATCCAGTGGAGTCAGTTAAAGATGATATTGAACGGACGATGAGATCATCTCCGTTGAAGGATATTTTTCAGCGGCGCGACGTGACAGACGACGCGGACATACGGGTGGAGAGACGAGCGTGCGAGGGATTTACATTAGCTTGGAATAGGGTTTGGTGAGTAATCTGTAGCTGGTATATTGAATGAAAATATTGGAATGTACTTCCTCATTTCATATTTATTTTTAAGGGGGGTCAACGTGGCGTTAATTCGAGTGATATTTCCATATAAACATCGTTTTGCGGACGCCGTCCAGGGTGATTTTGTGTCCTTGTTCAAGTGGAATAAAGGTCGTCCATGGAATTTAAAAAGAAACCTTTCACAGCGGAAAGCCCCGCTACCAAGCGACTTGCATATAAAAGGTGGAAATAGATTAACTTTCGGGAATGACTGATAAATGTAAGGAATATTAAATATACTTATATGACAATAAATTTTACAGATAGATGAAATAGTCATCGAGAGAGTGGATGATCCGTTTGAGGTGAAGTTGCTGCGTGATAAAACTACGAACTTCTTTGAGGAAATGAATATAAGGAGAGTCAGAAAAGGACGTACCATGCTGGACGCTAAGGTGAGTGACAGCTATCACCGACCACCAGGTTTGACGATTTCTTAATTTGAACCCCACTCGATTTTGTGTTTTGTCTAGGTTTGTCAGGAAAAACTCTGCAAGCCACATCTGTTCCTGCCGGCCCGGCAAAGTAGAAGAGTTTATACGCTGCACTACGCCACAAAGACGCTCAGATTTATGTCCAGCGGTCTCGAGCTGCGCCACCGCCGCGTACACGTCTTGTGGCGTGCTGCCTGGCTGGATTGAGAATTTTAGCGTTGGCTGAACCCAGTACTGCAACGGAACACAACGCAGCCACTCGTCGGGCTCCGGGACATCGACGCGGACAGTCCCTGGCCCCGAGGATGGGGCGTCGAGTTCACTACGTTTGTGGTGCCGCTGTGTTAGTGTTTCTTGCGAGTTGTGGCAACTGCGTTTTGAGAGATTTCCCACAGCCTCTACTTTAGTATGAGTGAGCTCGGGTTGTGGGGTACGCTACTGGGAGCCGAGGAAGCACCGCCCCCTAGAGGTATATAAGAGACCGGAGAAGCAGATTTCAACATAAACGTCTTTGAAAAGTAACGATTGTAATATAATATTATTTGTTTCCAAGCGGTCAGGACGGTCAATAATAGACCAAGGTGCACCGTGGGGACCCATGGAGCTAGAACGTAGTATGATGCCTCTTAAGTGGGTACTACGACCCTCTGCTGCGAAATGACCGAGTACAAGCTACGCCCCCTTTGGACCCTGGTTTTTGGAGCCCCCTGGTTGGGGAAATGCTCATTGTAATTTAGGTTAAGTTTTTATCAAACAAGTCAAGGTAATTTAGGTAAGTTTTTATCATCAAAAAAGTTTATCAAACAAGGAGTTTGCAGTTTGTAGTTCGTCCCCCCTGAGTAGACGTGCTGTGGCGTCATTTAAAAAATACTGTATATCGGAAAGTTTTTGCCAAATTAACACCTATTATCAAAATCATTAGGAAGTGAGGTTGATTACACTAAAACACAAAAGCAGCGACGAGGTAACCGCTCCTCCTCACCACGGGGAAAAAAAAAAGACGGTCTCTTATTTTTTTTTGCCTTCTCTAAAAGCAGTGCTAATCCGATAAGGTAGACAAAAACACGGATCAACTATGAACAAAACTGCGCTCACCGACGGGAAGTGGCCCCAAATGTTATTCATCGTAATAAACTTAAATTAAGTGATGGTAGTAATGATGACATTAGCTTGATTAAGCCGCTTACCAACATATGGTAAAACGTGCATTAAAAATATAAAAGACGCAAAAAAACGATGGCTAATTTTTTAAAAAAATTACTTAAATCTTAAATAACTAGTAATCATAACATTTTTAAGTTAAAATTATTTAATAAATAAAAATATATGTCCAAAACTTTTTTATATTTAAGAACCTTAAACTAATATAGATATTTACAGAAACCTATGTTAAACAAATTACTGTATTATTCATTGCATATCAAATATTTTTTAACATTATATAAAACTTCTAAACTTCGGTATGTTAATACTTCCAGTTGCAACAGTTCTTTGTTTTCTATGCATAAAGTGAAAAACCGTACGAATTGTCGAACTAACCGAACAAAATTTTATAATTGTATTATTGTTTTAAGTGAATGTAAATTCCCTTTTAAATAAACTTTTTAAAACCCGAAGTCTTTAACAAGTTTCTTTTCTTGATATTATTGCTGTACTGTTTTTTTTTCAGCGTTTTGAACCAAGTATCCCGCCCCATCGTTGGATCCCTCGGCCCCGCTCGCGTGGTGGGACAAAGTGAGACTTACCTGTTTCCACGGACGACTGACTGTCAACTGCGCCAAGTTCACCTGTACTCCTCCACGTGTCTCTGGACCCTTACAACACCACCGAGGAAATGGAGGTCACTTTGGACCGACCTGGTGCTGGATTGGACCAACGGTGAGGAATGTGTTCAAGCAGAACAAAACAAAGTCCTTCTTGAGTATTTAAAAGATTTATTTATTAGAACTTAAGTAATATCCATGTGTGTATCTGTCAGGTAAACTGGGGGTTCCTGGGTGAATTGAAGGTGTTTGTGCGTACCGGCCAGCAAATATGATGACTGTCGTGTGTGTTGCGTGTGCCCGCCCTGCGGCTGCGGTTCAAGTTAGGCTGGCAGGTCGTGGGCGACGCGCGCGACCATCGCGCTGTGACAACCCTGTGCGCCCACAAGGCTGCCAGAGTATTCCAGCAATCAGGTTAATTAAAACAGAGATTAAATATCTTAAAAACGAAACGAATAAAATAACTATTAATATTATAAAAACAGTAAAAAATAACATTTTCTAGGAAGCATAGAAATATTGAATATAACTATAATATTGATAACAAGCCCATCCAAGAAGTTAAATCAGTGCGTGACCTTGGAATTCAATTAGATTCTAAATTATTGATGGCAGAGCATATAGAACTCATTGCTGATACGGCATATAAGCAATTAGGCTACATAAAAACGAATATGGTCAAACTTTTAATCGTATTGAATGCATAAAAAATTTTTATATTTTTACTTAAGTACGATGTATTTTAGAATACGGTTTGTAGTATATGGTGTCCCAATTATATAACTTAGAAAGAAAAACTGGAAAGAATACACAAAAAAAGTTCGTAAAAATTTCTTTGCTTTAAGGACTTTAAAGAATTTAACGATTATGTTGATATATGTAAAACCAATATAATATTGAAACATTTTGAAACGAAGACTACGACATTATGATATGTATATGCTACATGCAATAATTACCAGAGATATAGATTGCACCGATTTATTGAGCGCTTTGTATTTAAGAGTTCCTAATCGCCGCCAACACGTCTCACTGCACTATTCCACACGCCTGAGTTTAAACACTTACTATGCACACTCTGTCCCCTTAATCGCATGTACAACACATATAATTCACAATACTCAGAAATTTATCTGTTCAGCATGTCAAAACTAGCTTTTAAAAAAAGCTATAATTAGAGAAGATAAAAATTCCATAATAACAAACACACACACACACATCATGCAAACACGCACCTATTGGATTCCCACCCGTTACCTTTTATATTACTTTTAAACTATAAGTTTTACTTTTATGCTACCGTCTTCTAGTTATTAATATGTTTAAATTACCCGGGTAATCCTGTTTTGGTTTTAATTTTATGTTATATAATAGTTAATATAGGAAACTTATGTATAAAAAAACTGTTGGAATTACTAAATAAATAAAATAAAACAAAATAAAAAAAACAATCGGGACTACTTGTGTACTTGCTTTTAAATATTATTACAATACGTCGAAACCGTCACCCACTATCACATTATCTGAATCCCAAATGACCACTGAATAATGTTTTCTAACTTCGTGGGACGTGTGATTATCTTTTTTCAGGAGCATGACTCGTACCGCGCGTTCCGGTCTCAGGGCCTCGACCTACATCTGAGTATGGATACCAAACCGATCGAGGGCGACGGGCCCGTGTTACTGCTGTACGGGGAGCACGCTGCGCTGGTTTTGAGAGAGTCTGAAGCTGATCTTATCGGGCACCACAAGACCGACCCGCCGCGTGGACGAGCCTTCAACAACATGCGTCCGCGACGACCGCAACTCTCCAGACAACTACAGGAACGTGTCCGTATCACTCACGCTGCACAATCTACAGGTTTGTAGTTTTGTTCTAGGTAGAATATATTTTCACAGTCATTTTTTTTAACCTCGATAACAATTGGGAGCCCCCCAAAATAAGATATCATATAGTTATAATATTTTATGTATTTACATGTAGTATTATTATAGTATATTAAGGACTCTAATAAAATCCATATAAAAATATAGTTTTCTTATAAAGCCAGGACTCTTAAAAAACAAATAAAACCTTAATTTAGAGTAAACTATTATTATCTTAAGCCAAAACACCTTAAATTAGTTAAATTCTATTAACCATAATACAAGTCGTGTTCACAACATGCTTTCGCGCGTTAAAGAGAACAAGTCAAGCGTCATAGCTTTAATATCGCTTCGGATGCGTTCGGGAATTTAAAGGTTCGGTTCAAATAAAAAGTGTGTTTCCTAAATCTATTACATATGTATTTATTATTACAGTATTTATTATATCATGGATATTTATGTAAGAGCATCTCATATTGCACTATGTATATAACATTATCTCTTACAGCTGTGGGTTGGCTGGAAGAAATTTCTATTAGAAATAAGCCCCCCCCGCCATTGTGAACAATGATTTTATTTGTATAATAAACTTATCTTTAAAAAAACAATAATCCGCAATACCCATATCTAAGAAAAGCAAATAATATAGTATTACGTCCCCCAAGAACAAACACTATGGTAAAAGAAATACAGGGTGACTGGTGAATTACTATCGATACTTGAGGACGTGATATTTGACGATCATATATGAACAAAATAAAAATCAATATATAACATAAATATTAATAAACTTCTAAGTAAAGTTAACCAAAAAGTTATGTAATTAATTACGCATCGTGTGAACACCCTACAGATTAGGTATACACACACACATACACCCGTGCGGCGGCGTGGGTGTTGTATTCAGCACGCCGCCGCACGCGTCCACGCTTGGAAACACTTCTAACGTGTTCCCACACTTTATTTATTTATACGGAAATTTGGTCAAAAATTAAGTACCTATTTTTTTTTACATAATTCGAATGAGAATCATGTACCGAGTATTCCTCCTTAAATATTGATAGTAATTCACCAGTCACCCTGTATAACATTCGAAAGTGCTCAAATCTATAATAACCCTTCCTAAAAAGTATAAAAGAAATAAAAAATACACATAGCTTTAAAAAAAAATACTAAAAGATCATCTATTAAATAAGACTACTTAATAAAAAAAAGAAAACGTATTCTATAAACGAAACAAAATAAATATAGAAATAAAAATAACTAAAACCATTCAAAAACATACATTCATAAAACATCGGAGAAATGAATAAATAAATAAAGTATGTAACTATCTAAGAAAAATAAAACAAGAATTTAAAATGTTGAAAAGTTTTTTTTGTTTTGGTAATGTCACATCTAGTTGTAATTTGTCTGTAAACATTTAGTCGTGGAATTCAGTGGCGGCTGTACCTTAAGTGCACTCGTGCGCTGAACCACCAATTCAAAGGATTTAAAAATTACAAAATATTACTTCATCTTTCATTTTTAAATTACCATTTTAATATTTATTTTTTGAAAATACAAAAAACGTATTAAAAAATTAAATTTCTAATTATAGTCGAAAAGTTTGAGCGTTTTGCTAAACTCATATAATGCGCTTCGGGCGAGTGCAACGAGAACTGCTAATACATCTTGTATGAGATACGCATTAATACGCCTGACGCGTTTGAAACAAAACATAGTTTATAGAAATGTACCGAGTAATGAGTGGGATCTCGAGCGCCGCACGAGGGCCGAAGATTACCGAGAGCACCCGATGTATGACGAATTGGAATTGAAAAGAATCAAAACTTTTTCTCCGAAATACCTTGCAGTTGCTAAATGCACTTTCTGTGCTTAGTATTGAATAAAAAAAAATATATACAAAACAATACCAGATTTTAATAAATAGGTGATTGAACATTTCGCTTCGGAAAAAATGTCGTTGCATTTATTAATGTATAAAAAATAAACCATATTTTATCTCAATTTATTTTTTGTTGCATTTTCTAATTTTAATATTTTAGTAAAGTGCACCACCAGTTCGATAACCCACCAGCCGCCACTGGTCCCGTGATGAATGTTGATATACAAAACCACCACTTATTGATTTATGTTTTGATGTATTACTTGTTAAATATATTTTTTATTTTGTATAATAAATTTAAAGAACCCTAGTTTCGTACGCTCAAAAACGTGTAAACATTTATGTAAATAACTTTGTAAATTTTGTGTTAAGAGTTTCATTTAAGTGAATATGTAATATTCTTTATGAAACAATAAATATCTTAAACCTTAATAACCATGTAAATTTACAGTGCAATAAAGAGTATATATATAGTTGTGTATAATGTAATCTTCCGTGCAGGTTTCTACTGGTCGTCGTCGTCGATGCAGCGCGGTATCGAGATGCTTGTGTGTGCGCGTCACGTGCGGGCGCTCCCGCCACCGCCTGTCGCTGGTGCCGGGCGGGGACTCGCTCATCCGCCGGAGCGCGCGCGCTGTGGGGCCACGCTGGTACATGAACTGCGAGCTCAACGACGCTGAGATATGGCTCAAGACGGCCGCGCAGACGCCAACACACGCCGCACAACGACGATAAGGATGATGACGGGGTCAGTACTATACATAATAATTTTGCTAAAATGACGAAACCATATCAAAAGGATTTTCACTGGTAATGATAACGTTAATTCAGTTTTATTGTAGCTTATTATAATCCTATCCCATTTTGGTAAACAAATAAACTTTAAAAAAAACTTTATTGACAAAACACAATGCTTACACAATAATAGATCAACATATAATGATACAATAAATCTTCTTAAACTTAAACTATTACAGTGCCTTCTATTGGTTGAGGTGCATTATGATTTTAGCAAATTTAAAAAAATTTGATTATCTTTGGACCCCACACTAGGAGACCTGTGTCGTGGTTTATCGACTTTTCGTTTATCTTTTTTTATGTTTTTTTGTGTATATTTTGAGGTCGTTATTATAATCATTGTGTTTCCCCAGTGTTCGTCGGTGTTGAGCCCGGCGGCCATGGAGAAGTGTTACTGTCTGTCAGTCCGGCGCGTGTCCGTACGGCCGCGAGGCCGGGCGGGGGAGGGATCGCGCCCCTCCGCGCACCGCCTGGCCGTGCACGACCTGCGGGGCGCGTGGACCAAACTCAATAGAGATCTGGGCGTTCGCGCTCATCGACACCTACATTAAAACACAGGTGATTACAAGTATATGTTGGCCAGCATTGTAGACACCTATGATGCTTTATTATAGGGCCATAGTTCGTATTAGGCAGAACCGAGAAAAATTTTATTATTTGTAATGGTGTTATTATGATCAAGCGACTCATTGCGAGCAACTTCGCCTAAAGTCGAGAATAACTTTTGCTAAAATTTTGAATTTAATTGAAAATATTAGAAAACGCTAGTTATGTTCCATTTATTTTATTTATTTATTTAATTAATTACAAAAAGAGTACATGTAACATTTGTTCTACATTTACAGGTGTTAACATAAATTTTATTCAAAAAAACCACATATAATTTAAAATCGTTTTTTTTTTGAAATCTTTGAAATCTTTTTGAAAGCTTTTTGGGTCGAATTATCAGTGGCGGCTGTACCTTAAGTGCACTCGTGCGCTGAACCACCAATTCAAAAAAATTTAATAATTACAAAATAAAATATTGACTTCATCTTTAATTTTAAATTACCATTTTAAATATTTATTTTTTAAACATACAAAAAACGTAATAAAAAATTTAAATTTCCAATTATGGTCAAAAAAGTTGAGCGCTTCACTAAAACTAAGATCTCGTGCGCTTCGGCGAGTGGCACGAGGACTGCTTATACATGTTGCATGAGATACGCATTAATACGCCTGGCGCGTGAAACAAAAGATAGTTCATAGAAATGTACCGAGTAATGAGTCGGTTCTCGAGCGCCGCACGGGCGACCGAAGATTACCGAAAGCACCCGATGTATGGACGAATTGAGCATGATTGACATCTCGTTTGTTGTATTGTTTTGTGCATTTTCTAATTTTAATATTTTTTTTAGTAAAGTGCACCACCAGTTTTATAAACCCACCCAGCCGCCACTGCGAATTATTATTAAATATTTTTTTTTTTGCAGCAATTGAAGAAAAAATCTATCAACAAAGGCGTTGAAGGAGGAAGAGAGAAGCCGACTACGTCTCCGAAACATCAGCGTGAGGGGGACGTCGTGTCTCCTCCGCCAGCCACTACTCAAGTGTGTACTGATAAAAGAATATAATGTATTCAAATAAATCTTATTACATAGCTTCTATTTACATCTAAGATATCTAAAACTGAGTTTTCCCGGAATCTAGGGTTTCCCTAGAAAAATCAAAAGTTTAATAAAATTCTTTAATATCACTTTCCTATATATTTTTGTGTTAAATTTTAATCGTTTTTTTGGTATTTAATAGGTGACCATTTTCTTTTAAAGTATAATATGAAGTATTTTAAAACGTTAAATCGAAGTCTTCTGATGTCATTAAATGTGTTCGTATATAGGGGCTTGTCAGGTTGTGGTGGTGGAGCCAACATGTTAGCGGCGCTGGTGGCGGAGGCGGGCGAGGCGGGAGGGGACGCGCCCCGTGGTGTTCAGCGACGAGGCTGGCTGGAGCGGAACGACGCGCCTCAACACACGCACGCTCACACACACACCGCACACGGGCGACATCCTGCTGGACGACGAAAACTCACACACCGCCTGTCTCAGTGAGTCACACGCGCTGATTACAGATAGGAAACAGAGATAGAACAGGATTTCAGTTCACTTTATCCTCATAACTTCTCCATGTGAAGTTTTTTTTTGAATGACAAAAAATAAAACCCATTCAAAAATGTCGCTTTGTTATTATTGGAAGTTAGAAGAAAATGTTCTCCAGCTACGGACTATTCTTTGAGCAAAAACTTTATACATATTTTAAATTAAGTTTTTATGTTTTTACTTGTGCTTCATATTTAAAAGTCTTTTTGGATTTTGCTTTGTCACTAGTCTCGACAGACTACTTTTTCTCTTTAAAACCAGTCATTGAAGTTTTTCTCATCGATGTCCAAATAATCTGACCAGAATTTTGTAGTCTTATCAGAATTCATAACTGTTATATATAATTCTTTTCTCGGCAGTCGAGCTGGTGAACTCGCAGGTAGTGTTGAAGGGTTGTGAGGACCAGAGGTTACGTGTTACTGTGCGCCGCTCGCGCCGAAGTCCGTCAGCGTGTTGAGGCGCGCGCCCGCCGCCACCGCCCACCCGTGGTCGGGCGGCGCATCTCTCCCGCCATGCAGTACTACGCCACTGTTTAGTGCCTCACGACAGGACCAAACTAGACGGTAAAAGAATAGACGTATAGCTCAGTTATAGTTGAATATTGCTACTCGTTTTTGTAGATGGATCGATAGGGTTAAGTACCTGTCGATCATCAGATGATCAGAAAAAGTACAGACAAGGTTTTTACTGAAATTCTTTGTTGTTATGACTAATTTTGTTTTTTATGCGAGTTTTAAACTCAATGGTAATTTTGTGTTGTATGTTTAATCGCTATCAATTCTAGGCTTAAAAGAAAAAACGAAAAATGTATGCATAGTCTATTTGGAAAACTTCAGATTAAATCAAGATGGTTGACTTTATCTAATATACACGATAAAAGTAAAAATTATGTTGATTTTTGATCTTCCAATCAATATATTTAAATACATTTTGGTGTTCCCAGCTTCCTATTTATCATTTTCTATACTCATATATCTTTTCATTCATTCATCTGGGCGTACAATCCAGATTCCTAATAAAAGCCAAAATAACTATAAGTTAACACAAATTGAATACACTACATTTTGCAATTAAAGTATTGGTTTTTCGACATATAAGATTGTATTTAAAAGCCATTATTATTACAATTTCTATGAAAGTGCATGTATCACTTTTTTTCCAGAGAAACATCCCAGTGGGGTGGTGGGTCCCTGTGGAGGAGATCGAGGAAAAAAACGGTGGGGCAGGGCGCGGAGATCAGCACCCTGCCCGACGTGCCGCGGCTCGTGGGCAGCGGACACTCGGCCGGGGGAGTCATCGGCAGCACTGTGGGGGGCCCTCCGCTGACACTGGACTGGCAAACAGGTTGGGGAAATAGAGTAGGAGGAATTTTTTTACAGTCCATAGACCCTTAGGCTATGAAAAATTCTGAACGGTTTGGTTTTTGTTAGAGACTATAAAAACTGTTTAGAAGTTTTTTGGTCCTGACCTAGGTTATCCATAACAATTTACTTCATCGCTTCTATTGCAAAATCCATATCTATATAATCCTTTTTTGTGGTAAAAATCTTGCCTCATATAGTGAAATCATATTAAGAATGTTTACAAGTTTGTTCGATATAACACATTAATCATGATCGTTTCCTGTACCCAGCTCCAGCGTATAGTGTCCTCGGTGTGCGTGTGAGTTTCTACTACGTGTCTCACGAGGAGGGTGAGGCTGGCGGGAGCGGCGGCGCGGGCTGGGCGGAGTCCCCGCCACCATATGGACTCCTTCACCCTCATGCATCACGACCTTGACGTCTGCACCCAATTCGCTACAGGTAGATATCACTGACAAGGGTGTAGATTCACTTCTGATTCTGACTGTTATAATATACAGGGTGACTGGTGAGTTACTATCAATATTTAAGGAGCATACTCGGTACATGATTCTCATTCGAATTATGTAAAAAAAAAATAGGTACTTTAATTTTTGACCAAATTTCCGTATAAATAAATAAAGTTTGGACACGTGCCTTGCCGGCGCCAGTGCGTCGCTACTCCCCCAACCCCCGCCCCGTGGCTAGCGGGCCATTAGTCGGCTATTAGTCGCGCGAGCGCCGCCGTAAGGTCCCCCGTACGTTTTCGTCTTCCCGCGCGCGCGCCCTAGCGATCGATCTTACGCGTATACCTAATAATAATCTGTCGTGTGTGCGTGTTGACCCCCGTTTATTACTTATTAAGTAATTAAATATGGCTTTTCAATACACAAATGCAGAATACTTGGACATGGTTCTTCATGCGTATGCGCGTGCAAATGAAAGCTTGCGGAGCGCAATCAATTTGTACCGGGAGATTGTTCCCCAATCGTCGAGTACCTACGGCCAAGCGTCATCTTAAACGCTTAATCAAAGATTACGAGACTTCGGACAGTTCCGTGTTCCAACACATGCCCAAGGAAACGTCTTGTGTATGCTACAGAGTATGTAAACAGAGAGGAGTTGAAATAAAAATCAATAGTGATTTCAAAAACTATTAAAAGTGACCCATTCCCGTATTAAATCGTGTGAAAGACAATATGTGTAAACGTGCCGAACTGTGTAATCACACGAGAAGGAGCTCACTTTGAACATTTGTTAAGGTTTAGTGTAGTTTTATGTAGGTAAATAGGTAGTTTAATGATTGACAATTGTTGTAAATAAGTATGATTCCATTTTTTAAATACGCCGGAAATACTAAGATAGGTAAAACAGTTCATATTTTTTTTGTGTCAAGGTCACACCATTTACCTAGTCAAATTAAATTGGTTGCTTAAACGAAAGAAATATCTTGGTATTTTTGCCTGTCCTAAGCCAGGATTAAAGTATGAAGGGAAAATGGATCATTTTTTGTTTATCTAAGGTCTAACACGCGGCGGGCGCGCGGCGTTTGGATGTAGGTAAACTACCGCGCGATAACCCTACATATACCTACGTACATAACTGTTTTGTGTCGATAACGGCAGCTAGGGTATCCACGCGATCCGTAATTAATTACATAACTTTTTTTTGTTAACTTTACTTAGAAGTTTATTAATATTTATGTTATATTAATTTTTATTTTGTCATATATGATCGTCAACTACCACGTCCTTAATTATTGATAGTAACTCACCAGTCACCCTGTATAAATATATGTTGCACCTCATAGATCGAAAACGCTCAGTGAGCGAAAAAATAGCTCATAACGCTTTCTAATCCGAGTAAAACATCAACATCGAGAAATTCGTGTTACATCTTTATATATATAATTCTTCTGTGAGTGGGTATGTCACTGAACTTCTCTCAACGACTGGACCAATTTCGGTGAAATTTTTTTGTGGTGTTCAAGGGGATCTGGGGCAATGGTTTAGATTCAAGATTCAATTTTGTCCGCTGGACTGGACAATGTTTTTTTTAATTAATTTTTAATTTATTAGTAGTTGTTGATACAAACGTTTTTTTGACATTAGATTTGACAACTAATTAATATGTCTATCATAATGTCGCACTTCAAAAACACGGAGATTTATGGCTTTAATAGGTAAACTCCAAAAATAGAAATAAAAAAAACGTAACAGATATTTCTTGACTATAGGGCGATACGAAGTTCGCCGGGTCTTCTAGTATATGTATGTATGTTCGTGTTATATAAATAGTGTGTATAATCTAAACCCCACCTTCCTTTCCCCAGTACGCCATGTTACTGGACGTGGTGAACAACGTGGTCCTGCACGTGGAGCCTGAGAGACGACGAGCGCTGGAGAGGCGAGCGAGGATGAGGTTCCAGCTACAGCTGCACAGGGACACAGACCCCAGGCACCTCATACACAAACTACAGACACAGGTCGGTCACACACACAGACACCACACACACACACACCACACACACACACACACACACACACACACACACACATAGGCACACCTGCACTCAACACTTACATCTAATAGGTACAATATAGAAACAAAATATGACCGTCAAGGAGAGTATGTATCTACATATGAGCTACAAACACACAATTGAAGTATTAATTACTTTTAGAGAAACATCTCTTGAAAAAAAAAATTCATCAGTCGTAATTTTCATTATTATAAAAATAATTAGCTTGATATTTAAAGTTAAATTTACAGTACCATTTCTAAAGTGATATTGCAAAAAGTATGATATTAATATTAAAACAAATTCTACATACTTCATCAAATGCCTTCTGAACCGATATTTATGAATTTGACCTAACAGAATTTGGTCAAGGTAAAGTGTTTTTTGATAAATGGACACCTGATTTAATATGTTGTTGAAAAAGTCTTACATAGAAAATAAAATAATTACATATGATATAAAGATTATTTTCTGACAATTATTCTTTTATTCTATTATATTAAAGTAAAAATATTATTTTGTTATCAGCATTAAGTTTATCTTAATATTATAAATGTGTTACTACTTAAAATATAAAGAATTCAGGTTTGGTAAAAAATGAAATCCACTGATAAGACGTCACTTATTGTGATATTATTTTTTTGTTAATTAGTATTGGAATAGGAATTGTAATTTGTGTGTGTTTCTTTTTATATATACTAATTTACTATATGACAGTATTGTATGACAAACCTATTCACTGGATGAATTTCTAAATTTACATCCAGTTGCTTATAATTTATTAATTTATCTTAATATAAATTCTTATATGATCAAAGTATAAGGCAGAAATAATCAACTAGCTGAATAATAAATCATTATAACTGAGTCATTGTTAACATTATGAATAGAATTTTTTTTATAAGTTTTTTTAAAATAGGTATTGTTTGTGTTTTTATATAAATCTATTTATACCAGACACGAGATTGGAGACTCTCAAATTAAAGCTGTTCTAACAGAAGGGCCTAGAGTAGAAAAGAACTGAAAGTATTAATTGCCCTAGTAACATAACTCATCACTGATATTACTTTATATTGTACTTTAAAATTGTTTTAGGATTTTCTATCCTTAGGATAAAGTTAATCCTTTCATCTCATATCAGATTGCTTTGTTACTTTTCCATCAGTTAGTTATAAAAATATATATTCATGTTAATTAATTTTTTTGGCGAATTAAATACTCTTTGTTTTAATTTTATTCCCAAGAGACTATCCAGAGACCATTTTTTTATTTATATGGGTGCTTCCAAAAATATTATTCTATTTTTGTTCAATGGGTTGATTGTATTTAAATTGTTTTAAGGTTTTTTTAGTAATAAGTGTTTGTTTTTCTTATATAAAATAGGATTTTTTATTAAGAAGAAGCCATTTACCTCACATAATAATTACTATAGTGCAGGTGATTTATATTTTTATTATTGTTATGACTTAATGATGATCTCAGACTTGAAGGTAACATAACATATGACTCATGATGGAATTATTAATTATTATAATAGTCTGTTTTTATATATAAATTAATATTCCAAACTGAGTGTAAAGTATAATGTTTAACTAGCTAGTTTTATAAACATTAAGTATACAAATGTTGAAATTCTTCTCCTTAAAAAGTATGATGTTCTTAAAGAACTAAAAGAGGGAACATTATCGTCCAATCACAGTTTAAATTAAGTCATATAGTTTTTCTACGCTCGCTACTTATCACTTATGGACAGGACACACCTTATATTTAGTTTATTAAATAGAATAATTTGATTATTATTTTTTTTTTTCATATAGGTCAGAGAATCTCTAGCGAGGCTGCGGCGGCTTGAAAAGGAATATTACCTAAAGAACCGCTCCATCAACGGAGACGATCAGGTCGCGTTGGCCGAACTGAAAGCTCTTGATAATCAGGTACTGTACCAGTAACAGCTTTTCAGCTGTTTTGTTATTTAGAAATATGGGTTTTGTTATTGAGAAATATAGTCTAAAATACTTTATTCAAGAAAGTCACTCAGGTCCAGATTATAAGGAAATATTTGCCAATATTTATAAAATGTAGAAATTTTTTAAACAACTATCAAACATTCCTAGTGAAAACAGGTCTTCGCTCAGACACCTACGATATTATTTTTGATGCTATTGTAATTAACCCCAGGTGAACGAGTGTAAGGAGGCAGCGTGGTCTTTGGGCGAGGAGCTGGACGCGATGGTCCGCGCGTGGCGCGAGGTCCGTAGCTTATCAGCCCCGCCGGCCCCGCACCACGCCGCGCCGCACCGCCTCAACGACATCTGCTTCAAGAGCGCTCGCTGGCGGCTCACGGACGCGGACGGCCAGCTGGGCATCGCGGACCTGCTGCTCACTAACTTCCTCTACACCAAGACCTCGCGCTCCGACGACTCCGTGGAACATCAGCTGGAAGTGGGATACGTGCGGGTCACCAACCTCCTGCCCAACGAGCCCCTTCCCCTGAGGTTTCATATATACTTCATTTATTTAAAAGTATTTTTGCACAAAAACTAAGTATGAATTCAATAAAATAATTATCCTAATGGTCTATCCTATCCACCAGGTGTTGGCCCCCCAGGAGGCGTCAGGTCGCGCCCCGGTCGCTCGCCGCGCCGCGCTGCGTGTGTTCTGTAGAGACCGGCCGCCTGTTGGAGGAAATCTCTGTCAAGGAACATTTCGAGGTCAACATAGTGCCCATACGGATAGGTCAGTTGAGTAACAGCATAATATGAACATAAAGGCTCTTCTACTATTATAAGTATAAATAAAAATGAACAATGTTTCTTGGTTCAGGGTTGACAAAGAAGTTTTTCAACACGATGCTGAAGTTTTGCTTCCCCGAGCGCGACCCTGACGCCATCGAGGACGGTGATGAAGAAGGAGAAGGAAGCGGCACCATGAGGAGCTCCAGCGGGAAGAAGAACAAGAAGAAGGGGAAGGACTCCAACTCAAACTTCTACGTGAAGAGAGATAAGAAGGACAAAGACGACGTGGAAGAAAATGAAGGTATCATCTAGAAACATTATTATTGTATTTCACTTCCCTTTTATTTCTATAGTAATAATATCTTGAACTTGTCCTTCCCCAGGAACGCGCGGAGAAAAACAAGCTGTTCATCTACATAAAGATCCCAGAGGTGCCGGTACGGGTGTCGTACAAGGGCAGCAAGGAGAAGAACCTGGAGGACGTGCGGGACCTGCCGCTGGTGCTGCCCACGCTGGAGTACCACAACGTGACCTGGACCTGGCTCGACCTGCTGCTGGCCACCAAGACCGACACCAGGAGGTGACACGCGCATACGCGCACACACTCAAAACACACCCTTACTGAGCAAAATACTTTACTTAGACAAGTATCTTGATGTGATTTTTATATATGAATCATTTAATATATATCCAATGTTACTTATTAGTTTTTAAATAATGAAATTGTCTCCATTTGGTAACAAATAGATATAAATATATTTGTCAGGTTTTTATACCGTTTTGCTGTCTATAGTAGACTATAGAAATATTTGCAGTTTTTTTAAACATGGTCCTAGAGTGGCAAATTTTCTGAACTTTCTAATTTATGGCTACTAAATATAAGTTTATCAATATATTTATTTTGGTTAGTACATTTTAAACCACAAAATTTTCTTTTTATTATATATGTATGTGTGTTGTCAGGGTGATAGTGTCGCAGGCCATACGTCAGAAGCTTCAACTCCACCGCCGGCCCGCGCCGCCGCCCGCGCCTCTTGAGGAGGACAAAGGCGCGCCTGTTACTGGGAGACAGAACTGTATGTAACATGACACTTAATACTCGCGAGTATTCATTTAAATGATACTAATATTATAGGATTTTAACTAGGCGTTTTTTTTTTCAATATACAGGGTGACTGGTGAATTACTATCAATATTTAAGGAGAACACTCGGCACATGATTCTCATTCGAATTATGCAAAAAAAATAGGTACTTAATTTTTGACCAAAATTCCGTATAAATAAATAGAGTGTGGACACGTTCCAAGTGTGGACGCTTGCGGCCCCGTGCTGACACAACACTACGCCGCCACACGCGTGTGTGTGTGTGTATATCTTACTCTGTAGGGTGTTCACAAACGATGGCGTAATTAATTACATAACTTTTGGTTAACTTTACTTCGAAGTTTATTAATATTTATGTTATATTAATTTTTATTCTGTCATATATGATCGTCAAATATCAAGTCCTCAAGTATCGATAAGTAATCCACCTGTCACCCTGTATAGTCCCCACGTTGCGGTTACTTTACTGCAGTCTGCAACCGTGATCTCATCTCGTGTGTCCGTGATCACAGTTGCTGTAATTTGAGTGAAACGTCGGTAGCATGTAGTTTTTAAAATAATAAAATAAGCGTAGTATTCCGAAAAATATAACTTTAGCTTAGTACATATGTAACATCGTATACAGTTCAAACAATTATCAAATGATACGAGTGTATGTTTGTTTGTTTGTTACGGTTGTGTTTACGTTTTTCTTAAAATCTTGAGATATATGGGTTTATGAATTTTAAGAATGTAATCAGTCGCTCCAGATTTGGTACTCCAACAATTATATTTCTCGTTTATTAAAAAATGTGTCTAAATATTTGATAGTAAAAACATCTTTTTACTATCAAATATTTAGACACATTTTAAGCCGAACTACTATTGAAAAGAGCATCCTCTTTCAATAGTAGTTCGGCTGTTATCCGAGTAAGCAAATAAAAGATGAAAAATCAAAACTATAATTATAAGGAGTCCTTTATCTGGTATATGAATATTTTTAAGAACTAATCTCCATTTAATTCAAGTACCTGAAAATTTTTGGAAAAACTAACATTTTAAAACGTTCCATTGTCCGTGTTATTTAAAAATAAATTATTTTGGAAAAAATTTCAATGATATTTTCCATAAATGTTCTATCACACTGGTTTAAACGTAAGTTTTTCAATAAATAAATAAAAACAAAACACTGGCTATACCTAAACTGGAACTCATAAAATTCCTTATCAATTAAATACCATTATAAGTTAATTATATTCTTTATGAAAACTATTCACGGGATTAGATCACGAGTTGTACATACTATGTACAATTAATGTCATATGATAAATGACTCTGTTATCATAGCTTTACATAAATACTGCACGACTATAGCGGTTAGTCTTTCGGTAGCCAGAGCGCAAAAGCAAATAACCACAAACGAACGATCAGTAGGTTTTGTGAGAGAAGGCACTAGGGCTACAAAATCAAACGTCAAGCCTTACTCCATCCTTAAAGCGGCGTCGGATTGGACTATAATGATGGACACGTATGAAAAACAATACAAAATCCCCGAGGATATTTGTGCGTCGGCCTCCAGACCGGATATATTTTTGTTTTTCGCGAATTCTAAAGCGCGTAGTGATGATAGAGCTTACGGTCCCTTGGGAAACCAACATCCCCAAAGACCATACCATCAAGGTCAACAAATATTACGAGCTCACAAACGAAAACTCACTCGAAATAGGTTCGTAGTAGATTTGTACGCGGTAGAGGTGGGAGCGAGAGGTATATAACAGCGAAATCTCTCTACAACCTACTAAAAAGGACTTGGGCTTGTCTAGAACTCACATTAATGCATTCTTGGGAACGTATATCGAAGGCAGCCCCTAGTAGGTTCTTTTCAAATTTGGTTAGGTAGGGAGAGAAGCTTGGACAGTGGAGGTGAGCGTATAACGCGCGTTAGTTAAGGGGCCCCTTAAACCTACACTTGGGTCGCAAGTCCCCAGGCACTGTTGAAGCTCCTCTCCCTGCAACGCGATGGACCCGGCACCCGCACGGTGAATCCATGGAATGCTGTGCTGAGTAGTTTCGTCTCTACAAAAACATTATATATACAGGGTGACTGGTGAATTACCATCAATATTTAAGGAGGATACTCGGTACATGATTCTCATTCGAATTATGTAAAAAAAATAGGTACTTAATTTTTGACAAAATTTCCTTATAAAATAAATAAAGTGTTGACACGTTCCAAGTGTTCCTAGTGTGGACGCGTGCGGCGGCGTGCTGATACAACACAACGCCGCCGCCGCACTCGTATGTGTGAGTGTGGGTGTATACCTAATCTGTAGGGTGTTTACACAATGCGTAATTAATTACATAACTTTTTGGTTAACTTTACTTAGAAGTTTATTTAATATTTATGTTATATGTATTAATTTTTATTTTGTCATATATGATCGTCACAAATCACGTCCTCAAATATTGATAGTAATTCACCAGTCACCCTGTATATATGAAGTAAGAGTAAGTAACACCAACATGTATTATCCTAAAATAGAAAAACCTTTATATTAGAAGTTCGCGGACAGGCTTTAATTATATCACCCTCCTTAATACCCATAGATTCGTTACCAAAATGAACCATACTGTACAGCGTCATAGTATTAGGCAGAGTACACATTGAGTTATGATTATATCAAACTATGTCCCACATTGTATATAAAATATTAAACTACATAATATTTCCTCAGGTGGCTGAAAACAAACCGCACAAGAAAAGTACCCCGAGCGTGTTTAAATTCTCCAAAATCATAAGAAGTCTTAACTTATAAGTGTAACAGATTTTTATATGAATCATTTGAAATATATCCAATGTTAGGATAAATATTGTAATTGACTCCATTTGGTAATAAATCAAAATTCATTCCATTATAAGACGTTTATATTATTATTATTATTATTTTAATTAATATTGTGTAAGCCAAAATAAATATTCGTCATTTGCATTGAGAAGATCCAAGGTCATTAGTTTTATATCAATGACTAATATGTAGTATATTATTGGTTGGTGAATTTATTTTTATAATGATTAATTTGTTAATGATGCACTTTATATAGTGCATGATTATAAGTCAATTATGTAAACGATCGCTAGGTAGATGTAGGAATATAGTAACGGTGGAATATTTAATATATGACATGTATTAAATTTAAACTATTACATATAAAGTAACCTCTACTAACATTTATAATATTTATATGAAGTTATAAAGTGCATTTCAATGTATAACTATATAAGTACATGCACAAACATCGTTCACATACTAACGCTTCCTATTTAATATTTATTGACCGTGGTATATATTATATGAGCAGTATTAAGACGTTAATATTTTTTTGTACTCCGCATATTATGAATTAAAGTTCGTATGTTACAATGTTTCAACGTCGTTTTATTTCCCCCCAAAAAAGTCCAATTAAAAATTCATTTTTTTAAATTAACGGTTGTATAATATGTAAGTCATCTGTTATGTTTCGGACCTGAGTCAATCCTACGTCACCGTCCCTGATATACAGTCATGTTCTGAGAAAATCTCGCCCAACTGTTCCACGAGAAGCGTTTTCCGAACTTATTTTTCTTAGGGATTACCTCATTGATGGCCTCGCTGTAAGCCTGGCGTGTGGCGCGTAGTGTTTCAGTCTTCAGTGTTCCGCCGACCGTCGAGGGGAGTGGATGTGTCGCCGGCAGCGATTTCCGACTACGAATACGTAAAGTCGAAACGAACATGAGGACGAATCATTATCAATAATATAGTGCTGTATTTTTTTTTCTATTTTATCTCGTGCTGTGCTGTGACTCGAGTGTATTTTTTTCGCCATGGCGTTATTTTTGTGCGTTTCCTTATGCGCCTGGGCAGGAGCCTTAGGGTTCAATGTGGACATCCCTTCTAGGGTGGTTTATACGGGAAATCATCAGTCTATGTTTGGATTTACTGTCCAGAGTCATGTGGACCGGTGATAGAAAGATGTAAGTTTCTTTGATATGTTTTTTTTTTTTTTATTGTGCTCAACAATATATATTTTTTCACGCATACTTACTTTATGATAAAAACTGGAAAAAAAAGAAATGTAAACATTTATAAACCTAATATTTATATCAAACGAAAATGCTAATATAAAAGTTGAACAAAAAAATCAATGTGTTTTTTTTGTTAATTTTTTTTTAAAAGAGATGTTGACGTATTGTGTTTGTCGAAAAAAAATATATAAAACCATGTCTGAGGTCTGAGTTGACTTACAATGAAACGAAAAAAAAAATCGCGAACTTTTTTTGCAGTTATTTTTATGATTCATTGGATACCTTCTCTTTTGAAATGGGCACGCGAAGCCTGACCCCAGCGATAAAAAATAAATATAATACATTTTTAAGAGTACATAAATCCTTGAGATTATATTTTAAAAATGTTTTTACTCTCCACGTAGAGGCATAAATGGTAATTGTGAAGGTTGCGCGGCGTTGCTGGCTCAGTCCAAGGAGTTTTATCATACATGACATCATCGCTGAAGAAGTTTAAGTGCGATTTTAGCGCGCTTACATATTAAACAATATATTCGTCTTATTTATTTTGGATCTCTATAGAAGCTGTTTACATATATGACGATAGACTAATGTATTAAAGTGTTAAGTACTATCTGTGGGTGAATATTATTGAAAGTCAAGTATCGTATGATGTGTCATTAAAGTGAAGATGGACATCTCGCGTTTCGTCCTCGTCAGAAGGCGAAGACCCTGAGATGCTAATAACCGTTGATAACGTGATGATATATGGACGTATGCAGAATATGACTCTCGCTATATACGTCTAACAGATGCGATTATTAAAAAAATCTAATTATTCCTTTACTTTCATTTATTTTAAAATTTAATAGTTTTTTTTTTTTGTGCATTTAAAACTTTGTAACCAGAATCAAAATTCTAACTTACACATTAATAGCTAAAATATAGTTCTAAATAAGATGTAAAAGTTGTAGGCTTTTTTATTTGTAAAATATGTCATAAAATTTTTCCTCGTATCAAACAGCACTAATAGAATAATTCCTCGTATTTTATTATCAGATACGCGTCATTAGACACCTTAGCGTCGTATTATATAGCCTCACTGTAGGCATTATTGTGTCTATTTGGCACCGGGGGGGTTCAATGAACCTAATTGAAAAAGCCAGTGTGACATTTTGTGGAGGCATCCGTGATCCCGCTTCCGCAGGTGCCGTGAGAACACGATGCGATACTTGATAGTGATTTATTGGAAATTATCTGATTACTAAGATAGAACTATAATAACAATTAGTAGGTAACTAATACCTTATATAGAAAAGTCGACCGTCATTATGTATATATATTATTTATTAATATCCATCGTCATTTACATTGTAGATAAATTACGCGATCAAGTTTGTTTTGCTTGTGTCATGTGATAAACTAATGAATCGACTTACATCATGAGGTATTCGTTATGAATATTTTTCTTGTTAATAATGACTAATAAATAATGTAAATATTAATGAATATATATCGATAAGCCGGTGTCGTGTACTAATAAGCCGACACTATCAAATATCCTCGGCTGTTGAACGCTTTCCTAGAATGCAAACATGAACATTTGTCGTCTAAGATGTTTTTTTATTTATTTGCCTTAACGATAGTTCTTTATTATCATTGACACTTGAACAATGGGGCGCAAAAATTTTAATTTCTAACCGGAAACAGTGGTCGTCACATGTGCAACACATGCGCATGCGATCGCCGCTCCCTTTTTATGCTTTTTTTTTCACTTAATTCACTCTTGAAAGGCTATTTTTGTTAGCGAGGGTGAGACGCGGCTTGATTTATGATATGCCTTACACTGCTTTCATAGACTTGAATGTGTCGTCATGTTATAAGACGTGCCTCATGATGAAGGCGGCCCGTTCATCGTCCGTGAAGTGGTTCAGATAAGTAATGACTTAAGACGTTTAAGTCTGCGGTCAACATGGATATTTTATCGATCGTTTTGTTTGTATTCGACCTGTATTAATGTTTCTTAAAAAAGTCTTGTGTGAAATTTATAACATTCATATAAGGCTCGGTATTCGTTTGTTTACAGACACAATGATATCTTGATATTGGAGCTAAAAAAAGCACATTTTTTTATTAATATTGAACACAAGTTCATCATTAGTTAACACTTATATACACTTAATTATTTTAACAATAATTTTAAATAATGATATCATGTTAACGCAAATATTTTAGGACGGTCGATGTTTATTTTCTAAAGGCTTATCGTCAGTCATTGACCTTCCGGATTCCACTGAGTTATCCTAAAAACAATTACTGCACAAATAACTTCAAATGTTTAATATATAAAGTAATAATATCTGTGAAGGAAGACTGCGTTTCTGGCCCTTAACACGACCGCTATCTACGTCTTATATTCGACAAAAAATATAATTTGTTTAACACTATGTAGTTCCAAGTAAATTTAGTGATGACATTAGAAATAATGTATTTATTCTATTTAATTTTATTATCCTTATAATAAATATTTATTATTAAATAATATCTGAATTGAAATAATCTCCTAAGAGAACACCTAGAAAATATTATGATTTTTTGACAATTTGTAAGTGTTAAATAAGACTGATTCAAAAAAACTCAGTATAAGCTAGAGGAAATGTTGTAATGTTTTTTTGTCTGTCCAAATAAGTAAGATATTTTGGACTTTATGACTCGTGTTTTATTGACTAGATTAGACTTAGTAAATGTCGAAGTTTTTTTTGTTTTGTTTTAACCTCAGAGTACATACAGAAGTACAATATTAGAACTTATTTTTCCATCAAGGATGTTCACTAGAATAGAAAAGAATGCTTTGTGTTTGTGGAAAGTGTTCTAGAAAGTACGTATGTATGTGTAGTCCGGGGCGAGCTGCGCCGGCGCAGGCGCAGTCTCCCTGACCTCATTACCAATATGGCGCCTGTAGACGACCTCACGATATTATACTATTATTATATTTAGCTTTATTTTAAATCAATTGAATTATATTTATTACACATAAATAAACGTCATTGAAATATATATAAATTTAATATTTGTTTTCTAAACTAGATTGTCATAATGAGCAATATCTTATATGGTAAGAATGTCTTGAAAGGTTACTTTTGATAAAATACTAAATCCATAAAAAATATTTTCTCGTATATAAAGGTAGCAACAATTTTTTGTTAGGAAAATTGATATACAAATTCTTTAACAGAGTATTACATATGATATTAATATGTATAACATTTTCATAGAAAAACAAAATAACGCTGAAAGGACGATGAATGTTATTCTAATTAACGTTATAATTTAAATGTCACTTTGAACTTGAATGATATGCACAAACGTCCCACGGGTTTACAAATTGAGTACATTGAATTGACTTTATTTGCAAAACCATTCACGCCACATTTTTTGTTCTATGAATAATACACAACCATTACGGATAGTGCACACAGAAACCAAAAGTTTGTTATTTTTTTTACGATTAATTAATTCAGTCGAATGAAGTAATCGTTATATTTATAAAATGAACTCTTTTATTACAATGTCGGGAGTCGACAATGTTATCGTTATTATGCAACGTGAAATAATAAACGCAGATAGGACGCCAGCCTTGACATTTGTGGATGATTTTCAACTGTCAATAATTCAAAAGTGTTGCTTATATATAAAAATATTAACCTAAAAGAAAAACTTTTGATAAAATCATATGAATTATACTTTGATATATTAATAATAATTCTTCTTCTACCTGGCAATTTCCCAGCTCTTAGCCAGGGTCTGCCTTATATGTTATGAATAGTTTTGGCTATTTGTTTTTACGACCGGCCGCCTGCCTGACATCAACCCTCTTTGGGAATCAGCATTAATCAGTGATGTCTGTCTAAATACTCTTAGAAAGTACGTATGACTCGGAAAAATCACATCGGTACCTGCCCGGGCCAGGATCGAACCCACGCTCTCGTGCATGAGAGGTCGGACCTTTTAACCACTAGGCCACCACTGACTTAATTAGTAATAATTATTTATAAGGAATATGATTGATGTCAATGCTAATTGTGCGCCATTTTCCTACAAGACATTCGTCAAAATAAATTCTCCGAACGGTTACACAGATTCCCTTGACCTAAAAGACGGGCGCGAGAAGCTCAAATAAATAATATCACAAGGTGATCCTGAGGTAGTTTAATGTTTACATCTCATTTACAATCACAAGTTTTACTAATAAATGACATTAAAGTTATCTTTTATATATATTGAATAGTATATTTCGACATTTATCAAAATATTGTGTATGTAAGTGTCTCTAATATGTTCAAAATGAATCCTGTATTGTACTGGGCGTCGGCTCTTGATAAAAACAATTTATCTCGTTACATTTGAAATAAATGATTGAAATCCCGACCGGAGACTGCGAGTGACCGTTACATTTAATTTGTTTATATTAAGATTGCATTGCTTATAAGCTTTATTGATAAAATATACTTTATCTTACTTTAAACGATAAATTAGGTTTTCATTGAATTAAAATGTAAAACTTAAAAGTATGAAATTGTTAGGAAAAAATACATTATTGATAAGACTTGAACACTGTAACTTTCAGAACGGAAAGTTAGTGTTAATAGCTATTTTGCAATATTGCCCCAAATAATGACTTACTTTCACTTTTAAAGTTCACTTGTTTATCATAAAAGGCTTTGTATGACATAAAATATATTGATTTATAGTGTGGCGATTTATTAAGGATTTGGAAATTTTATTGCACAAGTAAGAAATTGTTCATTTCATAAAAATATCAAAATAAATGAAATGTGCAACAGTTTTGTTTTATATATGTGTATTTCAAGTGTTGTAAGTGCTGAAGCACAAATAGGCATTTGTATAAATACATATTTTAATTTGACAATACTCAAAAGAATCAATTTGTTTTCATATGATTTAATTAAGACTAATTGTTTATGTGCTCGAGGTAACAACTGAAAGTGAAAATTTTAATCATTAATATACTCTGTGGTATACCTTCCAGTAGATACAATAAGTTTAAATTTCAAACTTTATTAAAATTATTTATAAGTTTATTGTATCGAGGAAGTTTTTAAAGATATAAGCTAAGGTTATTGTGACTTTGAGTGAGTCAAGGTGGAGCGGACGGCCGCCAGGTGAGATGTGTGTGATTGTGTACAAACAGCGTCATCGATTCTTTGTCATATCTGACTCACCCGCATAAATTAACGGTTGAAATATTAATCATCAGACGCCTAAGGGATACATCAATGAAAATAAATATGAATTACTTTATTCTATGTCATTTGTGGTGACACTAAAGTTATTGAGAATTTTACGGTATTTCCGAAATTACCTCCGACAATGTAATTGACTAGTAAGCGACTCACGTCATTACATAGGCCTCATTATACATTTTGACGAATATCTGTTCAATGAACGATACATTAATTAAGTCCCAGAATTAT